GACCAATGGAGCATAATTTATAACAAATTCATTTATCAATGATAAAACTCTTTACTGTCCACTTACCTCGGTGAGATTCATGAAAACAACTTATGAAAACAATAACATTATAATATCATGAAATCATACGCACTCTGTAACATAACACATGTCATAATTTTAATGTTTCAATCATCAGGCAACAAATTTCATCTTTTATCAGCCTACTAGTATCCATGGGGATCCATAGGAGTTCCTGCCACACGTGAACCATTCATTTTAACAACTTAATTCCAGAGCCGTCTCTATACCCCATCCGGTATGGGCGCCAAAACAATAAACCTCATTACCCCGTCCGGTATGAGGGTGAAGCGGGCTGTCTCCATACCCTGTCCGGTATGAGCGCCAAAACATTTAAAGTCTCCATATCCCGTCCGGTATGAGAGACAATATTCCCGATAGGGTTCCTTATAGACTCGGTCCGTCCACCATCTCCTAGGATATCTAGTGAGGCTGTCGACTTATCCATTTATCAATTCATGTACCTTTTCTATTCTTTTCTTAGTTTTATGTTTCTCACAAAATCATGAATATTTAAACCAATAACGAGCATCTAACAATGCAGGCATATCATCGGATTCACAAAATCAAGTTATAATAAAGTAAACAGTGATTCATGCATTCAAAAATATAGAATAAATAAATCAGATACCATAAAGCATTTAAAACTGTAAAATAACTAAAATAGCAACTGACCGAAAATATATCAGATCCGGACTCCATTAGCAACCTTATTTAATTATACATATCTATTAATTCATAAAATACCATTTTATCATTTATTAAGCTTTAATGCTGTGATAGAAAATAGGGTGAGTGATCCTTACTTGATTCGAAGTCTAAGACCGGTTTTTCACTACGCCTACGGGCGGTCCCTAGATTCCCTGAATTTTTTCTCCGGGAACTGAAACACACTTCCAGTACCTGCACATGTTCCCAAAAAACTCCAAATCAGACACGGGGCCTACTCAGCCAATTTCAAAAATTTGGGCACGACGGCTCCATCCGCGGCGGTGATCCCCTTCGAGTTGGTTGTTTTCGGCCGTTTCCGACCGAATTCAGCCAAACTAGCACCAGTTCCTGCGAGAAAACACACGTAAGGCCCTCGATGGACCGAAAAAACTCAAAAAATCGAGACTTACCGGTGGCAGAGCTCTCGGGTACAGCGGCTCCTCTGGTGCGAGTCACGATTTGGTGTTCTGCTCCAGTCAACCTATAGAGGAAAGGATGGTAGTCACAGTGGTGTAAAAATTATATCGAACGGGAATCGAAAAGAGCCTCATCGAAGGCAAAAATCGAGGAAACCTGCGGCGGTGCCGCTGGGCTTCGGCGGTATTTTTCGACCAATTGGCCTGTAGTTTAGCTTCGATTTGGCCACAGGCGGGTTTAGCATCAAAATTCGAGCCAAAAAAAAAATTTTACCTCGTTTGGCGGCCGAAAAGTGCTCTAGTGCGGCGGCAGGAGGCGACGGTCGGTTCCTCCGGTGGTTGGGCTGTCTTCTCCGGCGAGGGCTCTGGCGGCTAGGGTTTGGGGTTGGGTGTAGATGAGATTATTTATAACCTTCCCCTTTTAATATGAGCTGTCCATCATGATTTAATATGGGTCGTCTAATCGCGATTAAATTAAAAATAAATCTGGACCGTCGATGCGATCTGAGCCGTCCGTGCGTGATTTAATCTGGGCCGTCCACACGCGTGCAATTTGGGCCGCTCGCACGCGTGTTTGATCTGGGCCGTCCGTGCGCACAAGAAAAGATCTCAGCCGTCCGATCGCGCGCACGTGGATCGCCCACGTGGCTCTGTTCCGCATGGCCTCCCGCGTCAGTGTCTCTGCCACGCAGCGTGTCCTGGTTGGCTGGGGCTGCTGACCGGGTTGCTTGCGTGGTTGCTGACGTGATTATGTTTTGACCCCCGATTTCTGATTTTCTTTTCAAAAACACTCCCAGAATTCGAATTTTCACTCCTTTTTTCCAAAATTATTTTCAATTAAACCCCAAAAATAATTTTATCCATTTTTATCATTATTATTATTTTTATTTCTATTAAATTAAATTAAAACCATATATTATTACTTAAATAATTATTTATTTCATTTAAAATTTACAAAAATTTAAAATAAAACAAAAAATAATATTCATAAAAATAATAATAAAATTTTGGGGTGTTACAACTTAGCCTCTATTTCTACTTTTTAAAGTCGTCTTTACTTGATTCAGTTTCCCAACTCTAGGTAAAAATGACATTTTCTTTTAAGTCTGATGGTATACTGAAACATTAGTATGCTGCTACTAGAGTCCAAGTCTTGTCCAAGGCTTGAGCACATGTGGCGACTCTGTATGCTAAATCAGTTCTGTTGCATTATTTTTCGAGTATTGAGTTTTATCTTCCCACCTGCATCCAAAAATAGCAAAATCTCTTAAGTTATGTAGTAAGTGACTCAAATATGCATTCAAAAGCAATAAAAGTGTCATTTATGCACATTATCAAAATAAATGAAACATTTTCTACCTAGATATAACACAAAAAGATTTGTATGCTTTCAAAATATTGGATTTATTGGATTTCTAAATATGATATTATAATATTAAAAATCATCTCTGTTTATATGTTTTTAGGAAAATTAATTCACTTTAATTCTTAATTTTCTGATTTAATTACAAACACTATATAAAATATTTATACATTAATTTAATAATCAAGACAAACTAACATAATTTCTATTAGAGATTGATCCAACGAACTATTAAATGCTACAATCATTAATGTACTTATTTTGGTCTCAATGATAAGATGTGCAACTCAAATTAAAGCTATAAAATAAGTAGCTAATGAATTAAAATTGGAATTAGCTCAATTCGTTGAATTAGAAGTGTTTGCACAATTTGCTTTTAATCTTGATAAAGCTACTCGTAATCAACTGGTAAGAAGTCACTGATTACGTGAGTTACTTAAACAATCCCAATCAACCTCTCTCACGGTGAAAGAATAGATAATGACTATTTATACGGAATCGAATAATTATTTTGATTCATTAAAAATTAGACAAGTAAGAAAATTTCTTATTAAGTTACGTACTTAAAAACAAATAAACTTTAGTTTCAAGAAGTCATAATCTCTACCAAAATATTCACTGAAGAAGCAAAAACTAAAAAAAATTTTAAAAGAAGCTATTTATAATAAATGAAACATTTTCTACCTAGATATAATACAAAAAGATTTGTATGCCTTCAAAATATTGGATCTATTATATTTCTAAATATGATATTATAATATTAAAAACCATGTCTATTTATATTTTTTTAGAAAAATTGATTCAGATTAATTCTTGATTTAATTACAAGAACTGCATAAAATATTTACATATAAATTCAATAATCAAGATGAACTAATATAATTTCCATTAGAGATGGATCCACCAATATATTAAATGCTGGAATCATTAATATAGGTATTTTGGTCTTAATGTAAGATCTAAATAACAATTAAACCTATGAAACAAGTAGTTAGTAAATTAAAATTGGAATTAGCTCAATTCGTTGAATTAGAAGTCTTTGCACAATTTTTTCTTGATCTCGATAAAGCTACTCAGAATCAATTAGTAACTACGTGAGTTACTTAAACAAACTCAATCAACATCTCTCATAGTGGAAGAATAGATAATGGTCATTTATACGAGAATAGTTATCTTGATTCATTAAAAATTAGATAAGTAAGAAATTTTTTTTGTTAAGTTATGTACTTCAAAACAAATAAATTTCAGTTCTGTTAAATCATATTTTCTACCAAGATATTCATTGAGGAAGTAAAAACTATAAAAATTTAAAAAAAAAAGCTATTTAGGAACAAAAAAAAAAAATTTCTACTTCAAGAATAATTCTAAATAAATAAAGAAATTGATCATTCTTTAATTTAATTTAAATTAATTTCATTATTTACTTGAATTTAATATTTAATATAATAACTAATAATTATTCATAATATAAATTTCTAAGTATATACTATATATAAGACAAGCAAATGTAACATAATTAAGCATCTCTTATTCAAATAATTCAATTTTTTTTTCTTAACATAGAAATATAAAAAAAAAACATATTTTATAAATGGATATATTAAGCATCTCTTATTCAAATCATACAAAAAAAATTTCTTAACATAGAAACATATAACATATATATTTTATATGTGGATATAATAATTCAATTTAATTCTTTTTTAAGATTTAATTTATTAAAATTATATTGTGTATTAATTAGTAATTAAACAAATCGAATTAAATAATTATTTGTGTGGATTGATTTAATTATTTTTACAAAATTACTAAAAATTTTATCCCAACTTTTAATGATCAAAGAAAACTATTTTTACACTTTTACAATTCAATTAGTAATAGCACAGTGTATAAATTTCATTTGAATATTTAATACTAAACAGATAAGAGAAAATGAAATTGATTGAATGAATGGATGATTTGGGTAATTTAATTTAATTTAATTTTTTTATAAGTTAATTATTAAAAATATTATTTATAATTTTAAAACTTTGTAACTAAAATGTCAAATAAAGTATGGGTTAAAATTTACTAAAAATAATAATTGAATATTTCTTTTAAAGTCAAATTTTTGTATACTATAAAATTAATTGATTCTTTAAAAAATTACATAATCCTAAGTCAATCTTAAATATTATTTACGAATTTGAATTTATATAGAAAAAAATAAAAAAATATATATATGTATCTGAATTTTTTAGTAAGTTAATCTTATTTAGATTATTTAGAAAAGGAATAGGAAAATAAAAGCAATGAAATCAGGTTGGACGAGAATGAAACTTCCTAATGAAAAGCGGATTAACTGGTTGACGTCAGAGAGGGGTAATTTGGTAAATGCACAGAGAGAGAGAGAGAGAGAGCGCTATAAATACACAGTGAAACTATTAAACTAAAACCATGGGCTCAAGAAAACGAGAAAGACAAAAATCTCAAAATTCCGTTCCGTCAAGGTTCCTCATATACCTTTCCTAGAGAGAGAGATAAACAAACTCGTCAAAAGTACTCAGCACTTCTTCAAGCGATCAAAGCTTCTCCTTTATCGTTGATTTTTTCGGCTGAAATTTCTGGCAAGAATCAAAACAAATAAGCGTTTCTTTTTTCGGAGGCCTGAAAATTTTTTTTCTTCTTTTTGAAATTCTTTGTTGGCTTACAAACCCTTGAGTTTTATAGCCCTGCTTCCTTGTGCCGGAAGGATTGTCTTTTGGGTTATCTTCTTTTGCTTTCTTCGGTTAGTGTTGGCTTTTCGGTTTGCGATTGTGTTTTCATGGAGGCTAGGAGGAAACAAAAAGGTGAAATCCAGTATCACGAATTGCAGAGGCAAAGATCATATAACAAGAAACCGCCTCTTGGTTTGTTTCCCTCTCTGTTACTTTTTTTTTTTAATAGTTTAAAGAGCCTTAAATTCTTTGATTCTTGTTTTTTTTTTTTTGTGGGTGATGGTTCTTTTAGTGTCTTCTTAGCCTAGAAAATACGGGGCTCTCTTAGATTTTGATATGGATGTCTCTGCTTGTTTATACTTCAAGCTTTTTTCCTTTTCGTTTCTTAAACTTTTCAAGTGATGTTTTGTCTGTAATTCTCTTCAATGCTGGTTTCTTTTTCAAATTTTCTTGAGATAGGTTTTTGTTGATCGTAATTTGTGGGTATGTTGAGCGTGATGTTGCCTGTCAAGCATCTGAACTTTGGATCATATAGATTTTTTTCCCAATTTATGACTCTGAGAGACTGTTTCTTTCTAGTTGGTTGTTTTGTTTTTAGGGATTAGGCCTTTCAGGTGGTATCTTTTTTGAGCCAGGCAATTAACTCAATCTTTTGTTTCCTTTCACTGATTTTTATTTTTAGGGAGGGTTTAGGGTTTCTATTTTTGGGCTCCTTTCCTTCTCTTGATTATATTGTCTCTGATCAATACTTGCTCAGTACCGACCCTTGCTAAAATTGGTTTTTCTTTGTTTTATGCCTTCACACTGTAAGGGTTTTGAATCTATTTTGTTATTCTTAAACATATGGATTTGGCTTAACAAAATGCCACTACAAGGGTTTCCCAATGTTCTGAGTAATGGCAGTTGGGTAAGGGATATCGAGGTATCTTGTTAGGAATAATCCTTTATTCAAACTTCCTGTGGTTTCCTTTGGGATAGAATTTATGAATGGATACAGAAGAAATTGTAATAACAGAATACTGAGAGTTTCTTTTTAGGAAGATTCCTTGATTCACTATGTATGGTATAATCACACGTGGCTTGCGTTCGCATGAATACCGAGAGAATTGTCCAAGTTCTCAATGTTTTTGGCCATGGTGTTGGAAGATTTTGAGCTAAAGTGCAAAAAACCTTAATCTTTTTGTTGGATGTAGATTTTCTGGCAACGTGATAATGACATCGAAAGCATCTCAATTATTATCGGCTTAAACTTTCCATCTCTATTGCCTTATTTTTTAAATTATGATTTACTGCTTCTTGTCTTTTTCTTTTTTTTTTCGTAACCTTTCATGCATCTCTTTCCCTTTTAAGATGTAGGCACTAGTTTTGGTGATTAATCATAATATTATATATCATGCAATGTCTGGCCTCCGATATTTGTCGTGACATTACTTGTTTTTGCAGCATGTTGGCAGCCAACTGTGCCAGCTTGGGAGAAGAAGTTCTGCAGTTCAGTTGGGTTAGTCCCGTGGAAAAAGATCTTAGAAACAAAGAGGTTTATGCACCTGTATGACAATGTGGTTCAGTGGAATGACTCTGCTGTCGAAGAGGCATTCAACAATGCTAAAAGCCGGTATTGGGCAGCCATCAACGGTCTTCCTTGTAATATATCCTTGCCTGATCCTGATACCTATATTGATGAAATTGATTGGGACTCGGAAGTTAATCCTGAACTGATCTTGGACTTGGAACGAGAACCAGAGGATCTTGCAGAGGTAGATAAAGGTGACAATGGAGTGATTCTGTGCAATTCTCTTCTACTGAACCAGACATTTTCCTGCACTGGTTGGGGAACTGGATGGGAGGATACTGAAGAGGAACCAAAGAAGAACTCGGAGAATTGTGACTGGAATATGGGTAACCATGAAAATTCTTGGGAACAGGTGTATGCACCGAACAAAGAGGCTCCGGTAGATAATGATTGGGGTAATTGTCCCCAGAAATCTTCATGGAACACATGGGAGAACAATGACCATGAATGGAATAACAACTACCGAGAGTCTAGCAACAAGGATTATGGAAGGGGTGGATATCGGGGAACCTGGGATGGAAACAGAAGGAGAAGAGAAGGTTATGGATCACATACTTCAAAGCTGAAAACCTCGAGGTTTCGAGGCGATGACAATCAAATGGACCGAGGATTGAGAAATGGAAGATGGAGAAAGAGAGGGGTAGTTTGTGCTTGAGCAATAATCTGCATGCAAAAGCCTTATTCAAGGATGTGCAACTCAATGAATTTTGTTGGACTGGTTAGCCGTCGAGTAGGAAAAAAACAAGTTTTGTTAGTGGCATTACGTATATAGCCATGTAGATTGTGGGAAGCATTTTTTCATTTATTCTTTTCTATCAGTATAGATAAACACCGTATAGAATACGAATTCTAGGTGTTCGACCTGTCAAGTTCAGCTGTGTTGAATGTTTTTGTATTTCTCGTTGTCCTTCGAGACCTGTCTCTCAAGAATATGGTTTTTATATGATTGAAAGAAAGTGTTTGCTCAGCATAGAATATAACTCTACGTTTATAGCTCCTATCAAATTCATTGTCTCAAGGTTGTTTATAGCTCAATTTTGATTGAAGCTAGCCCTAGATTGAAGCAGAGACATCCATATCAAAATCTAAGAGAACCCCATTTTTTCTAGGCTAAGAACACACCAAAAGAACTCTCGCCCCCACAAAAAATTAACAAGAATCAAATGAGGTTCTTTAAACTAATAAAAAAAAAAAAAGTAACAAAGAGGAAAACCAAACAAACCCCCAGAGGCGGTTTCTTGTTATATGATCTTGGCCTCTGAAATTCGTGATGATTGATTTCACCTTTTTGTCTCCTCCAAGCATCCATGATAAGACAATTGCTAACCCAGAAGCCAATGCCAACCCGAAGAAAAGCAAAAGAAAATAACCCAAAAGACAATCCTTACGGCACAAGGAAGCGGAGTTATGTAACTGGGTTTTAATATAACGAAGTAAATGATTTTGATCGTGGTTTTGTAGGATAGAAAGGGAAGTGTTTGTTCTGCATAAATATATATATATATATCTCTGTGTTTGCTTGGATTATAATGTAAGGTTTATATTCTGGCATAGTTAGATATTAGCCAATTTCAGGTGGCCTTTTCATCAACAAAAACATACACACTGAGTTCCATCAAAGTGAGTTTAATAGGGCTGATTTTAGAAGGATATTTTCTCCTGGGAATAATCAATAGATTTAGGAAGAATTGATTTTAACTCTTATTTTGAGAATGGTATTTTTAGTTATTATAATCCAAGTTTTTTATTTTATTTTATTTTATCAAATCTTTAAATTTTGAGTTTAATTATAAATATATTTGAATTAAATAAAAAGATTTTACAATAGTCTTTACATTTTGAAATTAAAAAAAAAAAGTTCATGATTAAGATACAACTTATTTTGACATAAAGTTTGAATGAATAAATTTTTAAAATAAAAAAATTGAGTCTGAATGAATTATAAAAAAAATACAATATTATTGCTTGACATAAAACCAACATATTATAATATTAATAGATTACCAGCGTGAAAAGAGTTTAAGAATTATTATTATTTTTTATAAAGACTAGAATCATTTATTATATCTTTTTTATATATGTATCTAACGAATGATTATTATTTAAAATAAAAAATAACAATGGATTTAACGACAAAAATAAAATTAATTAACAATCTGATCTTACCTTTTATATATATATATATATATATATTTTTAACAAAAAAAGGTTGACACAACATCTCTACTGCTATATAAACGTATTGATTGATATCAATATAAATATAAATATAAATATATTCTATCAAAAAAATAAGAAGCGATTTTTAAGGGTTTAATAATTTGCAAGGGTTTTTGGGGTTGCCGGTTGCTGTAGATGTTGTACTCCGGTGCAACTTGGGCTGCCGACTCGGACCACAACTCACGAGCCACACCTTAAAATCTCGCCCATCCACCGACTTCATCTTGTTCGGCCGTCGATTAGGGTGAAGAGAAATCGGGCGGCGAGAGAGATCGGTGTTTGGATTGACAAGGTGAAACAAGAGAAAAGAAGAGGAGACAAGTTTCGAGGTCAGTGTCTTATCATTTCCACCAACAAATTGAATTCAGAACTTCAATTCCGTTTCCGAAAAAGAGGAAAGAAACAAGAATTCTCTAGTTTCCTTAGGTTTCTAAGTTACACAAAATTGGCAGCTATCCCATCTCCTCAATGAATTTTATGGTGTTCGTCTTAATTTTGTGGCTTTTCTGGTTTCTGAGTGTTAGCTGATAAAAGTTTTTGGGTTTACCGTTGAATTTTGATTGCCAACTCTACTAAAGTTATGTTTCTGACTTAGGTTTCTAGTTATCCGAAAAAACTTTCATGTTAGTTGCTTGTTGATTTGTCATGAAGAGAATATGATATTGGGTGTTAGTTTTTTTTTAGCGATTCTGCATTCCATGATTTTGCTACTTCAACGAAGTTATATTTGAGCTCGATGTGATCAGTTGGGTTCTTTCTTCGTTTCTATCAAGTTTATGCTGGCTGTAAAGGGTGGTCTGATGCAAGTACTTAGGTTTTTAAATCATTGACCTTGATATTTTTATTGTGTATTTTGTGTGTTATGTATTTCTGTCACTCCATTTTTTTAAAGGTTGTCGTAAAATTTTGTGTTCTTTTAGATGTGCTTGTTCTGCGGGCTTACTCGAGAATTCTGATAGAATATTTCACTTACTGGCAGCTGATAAATAGCGGAAGACTTGGAGTTTCTTCTACTGTAAAAAGCTTTATAATCTTCTTTGTTCCTTTCTGTTGGGGAAGATGGAAGTTGACGAGGAAAATCCGGCGTCAATCCCTGCGACAGAAGCTTCAGATGCAGTCCTTGAAGGGACAACTATGGATGTTGATGCCACTCAAGTTCAGCCAGTCCAACCTGTCATTCCACCGTTACCTCCACCTCCAGTTGTTCTGCAACCTGTTGCTCCAATATCTGCAATTCCTCCTCCTGTTATCCCATTGGCACCTCTCCCTGTTCGCCCTTCTGTTCTTAAACCACCTGTCTCACAAAATGGTGAGGTCAAAATGAGTGACTCAGACTCCGATCTTGAAGATGCAGCTAGAAGCACCGGAGAATATGAGATTTCTGAAGAGAGTAGACTGGTGAGGGAAAGGCAGGAAAAGGCAATGCAAGAATTGTTGATGAAGCGACATGCTGCTGCTCTAGCAGTTCCCACCAATGACATGTCTGTTAGAACTCGACTTCGGAGGCTTGGGGAACCTGTAACCCTTTTTGGAGAACGGGAGATGGAAAGAAGAGACAGGTTACGGATGATTATGGCCAAGCTGGATGCCGGGGGTCAGTTGGAGAAGCTGATGAAAGCTCATGAAGAGGAGGAAACAGCAGCTTCTGTTACAGCAGAGGAAGCTGAGGAAGAAATTCTTCAGTATCCCTTTTACACTCTGGGTTCAAAAGAGCTTCAGGATGCCAGAGTTGATATTGCAAAATACTCCATTGTAAGGGCAGCCATGCGTCTTCAACGTGTAAATAGGAAAAGGGATGATCCAGATGAGGATATGGATGCAGAGATGGACTGGGCTGTGAAGCAGGTGGGAAATATGGCCCTCCATTGCAGTGAGATTGGGGATGATAGACCACTTTCTGGGTGTTCCTTTTCGCACAATGGAAGACTTCTTGCCACCTGGTATTATATCTCTTTCTGCCCACGCATGCACATAGATTGATAGACGTATATGCATAGGCATTCACCCAGTACTGTTGTTCTTATGATTTGATAGCTGTGTTGATTTGTATTTGGTTGCTAACAAATTTCAGATCACTGCCATTTAATTTGTCCTGACTGTACCTAATCCTAAGTCGTTCATGGTGAGTCTGTGCTTGCTGCTGAGAAAGATATAACTTGTATTTTTCTGGCTATTGGACTTAAATAGTTCTATCTTCTTTTTTTTTTCCATAAAAAATTTGATGAATATGTTTCTACCGCTTTCCAAAATATTTTGCAGGGTTAAAATCATCTTTAAATATTTGTGAAAGTAAAGAAATTTTCCAGGCTTTTGAAATTTTTTCCTGCATTCCCCTCTTTCTGAAGTCTTTAAGAAAACTTTCATCCAATGTATTTGTTCCATATAAAACATGTTTGATAGGGTTCCATATGTTGGCTGCAAATGTTATTTATTAAATTAGTCTCTGCAATTAATGACACTACTGAATGAGAATAATTAGATATCTTGCTATATTCTCTGGTTTTCTTTTTGATAGTTCTTTGAGTGGAGTTGCTAAGTTGTGGAACATGCCCCAAGTAAACATGGTTTCCACCTTAAAGGAGCACAAAGAACGGGCAACTGATGTTGCTTTTTCTCCTGTAAACAATTGTTTAGCCACTGCTTCAGCTGACTGTACTGCAAGGTTGTGGAATACTGATGGAACTCTCTTGAATACATTTGAGGGACATCTGGATCGACTTGCACGCATTGCCTTCCATCCATCAGGCAAATATCTTGGCACAACAAGCTTTGATAAGACATGGAGATTATGGGATGTAAATACTGGTGCAGAATTGCTTCTTCAGGAAGGGCATAGTCGGAGCATTTATGGGATTGCCTTCCACCATGATGGATCCTTGGCAGCATCTTGTGGACTCGATGCACTTGCACGTGTTTGGGATCTCCGTAGTGGGAGGAGTATTCTTGCATTTGAAGGCCATGTTAAGCCAGTATGATTCTTAAGTTATTTGGTTATTTTCTTTTGGTAGTTTTGCATATTTGTTATGAATATAACTTGAGTTATATATTATATTTGTGATGTCTCTTTCAGGTTCTAGGAGTAAGTTTTTCACCTAATGGCTATCATTTGGCCACTGGTGGTGAAGATAATACTTGTCGCATATGGGATCTAAGGAAGCGAAGTTCTTTATACATTATACCAGCACATTCTAACCTCATTTCACAGGTGAAGTATGAGCCTCAGGAAGGATACTTCTTAGTGACTGCGGCTTATGACATGACTGTAAAGGTACAATTCTGCACTTCTGTTTGGATCCTTGACCTTGTTCTTGTTTGTCTATCATTTCATACTTTACATGTTTTACCAGGTTTGGTCAGGGCGAGATTTCAAGCTTATCAAGGCTTTATCAGGACATGAAGCAAAAGTCACCTCATTGGATATTACTGGGGGTAACTTTCTAGCTTCAGATATCTAAATAATAAGTGCATATATATTTCCGATTTAATCTTTATCTCTGGTTGAACCATTTGGTTCATTACTGTTGGTGATCCCTTTCCCCAACTTGCATGATCTCGTACTAAAGGTGTTTGTTTTGGCATGGTCCAAGCATCTTAGTTTCTTGCAATATTTTCTGTACTTCTGGAGAAGGTGCATTTGGAATTGAATTAATTTATGATGTTGACTGTTTATTTTAGGAAGTAATCTTCAGTTATAATCCACTCTTAGCCCAGTAATTCGAATGGCCATGGCTTGAGCAAGGAATATATTTCTTTTTGTTAAAGAAAAGGGCTAGCTGCCTAGTTATTTTCTCTGGTTGTGATGTTTTGAATATCGTTCTGTAGAATTTTTACTTTGAATCATTAATAGTACTCAATTAGCAAATCTTTCATTGTATCCATCCATCAAGATGCAAGGAGGTTCTAGCTAAACAAAAGCCAAAGTCTCATAGGTTAGATTTTTGGGGTTGGACTCAAATCTATGACCTTATAAATGGTATTGCCATCTACCATCCTGACCACCAGTTCGGTGGCATAATCCAAGATTTTATAGCCCCTATTATTCTCCATTAATTTTCTCTTCTGTTTGTGCTTTATATATTTTAATTTTCGATTAGGGGATATATTCCTCTGGATTTTCAAGTGTGAAGGGCACTAATTTCCCTTGTCTTTCCTCTAAAAACTTTATTTTTGCTTCAAATTGAAGTTTCATATGATAATCTTTATCCCATCATTTTTAATGTATAGAATATGTTTGCTTTTAAATTGTTCAGATTTCAAGCCTGTCGAACTCATAGACTACACTGTTTAATCCATTTCAACTGACAAGTTTTGCTCTTTTGATGGCAGATAGCAGCTACATTGCAACTGTCTCTCATGATCGAACAATCAAGCTCTGGACAAGCAATGGTGGCACATTTTCAATGTAACTCTAATTATCAAGATTAGCCGTGAAATTCAGTGGTCTAGCAAAAAGGTGACAGAATGTTTCGATCAAGTTAACATATTGTCTGTTAGAGGTAACTTCTTGAGTTATTCATTCAATGTAATCCATGATTCCATGGCCGAATTACCAGAAACATGAGAAGAACATTAAGTCTTACTGTTCTGGAAGTTACCCTAAC